ATATTCAGTCACCTATTTAGTTACATTTAGACATAACCATAAACTCATGAAGTTTTGCATGTATTTATTCTGTTGTCTTTGTCATCATTAACCTGATAATGACAAAACACTACCTGTCACAGATTCTTGAACCTTCACTTTTTTACATGATCTAATCTGTTAATTTCCATCATCTTTTCAGTAGAAAGCGACTTTATTGATGTAATACTTAGATGTGGTCCAGGAAGACACCATGCTGCGTTCTGAATGGTAGGATTGTTTTCATATCAAATGAGTCATTCATGAGGATGCTTATTCAAAGCCGGAACAACAAGAAACATGCTTGCTTTGTAAGGGTTAATCTTTCTTGATTTTCATTATTTTTAATACATTTTAGAATAACTTTCCAATTTCATTTGAACCCATGACTACCTGAAATGTCCTAATAAAAGAAGATCTGGTTGCCAAAGAGAACACGCCATCATGCCAGTTACCTGTGGCGTTCATCCTTCTTAAAAGCTACAAAAATATGTTTCCTACTGTGTCATCCAGTACACCAAAGAGCTTTCCCTGGAAATCACTTTTTCATTATGTCTTTGTAATTACTGTTTCCTGTCTGATAAATCTTATGCAAGCTGTGAGACTTTGAATTATGGATCTGGGAGAGTTACAAGAACATAACTAGATGCAGCTCAGTCAGCTGTGCATGTCGATCCTTGCTTTCCAGGCAGAGCCTGTGCGGCTATCCACTCTGTCATCTGTATTCATTTTCAGTGTGTTGATCAAAATCCTAACTTACAGAACCTTGGGGTGAATTTCTCATTTAACAAGTGTTGAGCATCCATGGCAGGAAAGTTATTGTATACAGCAGCACTCAAGAGACATAATCTTTGCCCTTAAAACTTTCATTTTCGGGAGGAAATAGTGCAGCATAAAAATGTCACCTCCATTTTCATTTTATGGCCTTAAAGTTTTGATTATAGAATTATATCTGAACAGGACTGGAGCAACTACACATTTTGTCTCATATGTATATAACAAAACATTGGAGACGTTGTAGGAGCTCCATCCAGAAAGAATGCAATAACATGAAATTATTCTCTAAAACACTCACCAGAAGTGTAAGTCTAAAAGAAAATTTTCTTACAGAAGCAGAGTTTATGAATGAAGGGTGAAAGCTGAATGATTCCACACTACAGGAAATATTCTGTCAATAAGCATTTGACTGCCAACACATACACCACCTACTGTGTTCTTCAGTGCTGGCTTTATGGTCTGGTAATAGGAGCTTCACTTTGAGTTATATTACATTTTTGAGATTTAATCACCTTATCTAGTAGAAAAGCAGACAGATGTTATTTTCTTGATCAAAGGTGTGGTCTTTTCCAAAAGGAGCATAATTCTCTGAGAGAGCTGAGTCGTAGGAAGGGGAACATGGGGGAGAATGGAAGGAAGCAATTGCACACTGGGCATATGGACTCAACCAGTGCGGGCTAAATGGCATGTTAGAGTCTGCAAAAGGCTGTGTGCACAAGCTGTGCGCACATGCCAGCCCAGCTAGCCCAGTGCTTCTCTACCAGGCTGACAATCACATCCACTGGAGAGCTCTAAAGATTATTTAAATGAGAATAGCAGGGCACGGGGCACGTCATTGTAACGTGCAATTTTGTTTCTAGACCTGTGCATCCTAAACTTTAAAATGCATGTGAACCACCTGGGAATCTTAGTAAAATGCAGCAGCTGATTTAATTAGTCTCGGTGCCTGAGGTCCTGCATTTTTGACTTACACCCAGGTTATGACCAAAATTGCTGGTACTTTGTCACCTTTTGAGCTGCTAGAAATGCAGAATTTGGGGCCACATGTCAGACCTACTGAATCAATATTGGCATCTTACCACCGCCGGTTGATTTGAATGAACATGAAATATTGTGAAATGGTCCTCAAAAATCTTCACTTTTTTTTTCCAAATAAGGAAAACGATATTAAATATAACTTAGATGGCAAATGATATTCTGTTCCTTTAAGATCTAAATTAAATTTGTTCAGTTCCCACAAATTTCAGATCGTAACCAGAAGATAGACAATCCTATAGCAGTGGTTCTCACTGTTTGGTCCCCCGGTAGGCATCATGGCATTACCTGGAAAGATGTTAGAAATGAAGGTTGTTGGGACCAACCCAGACCTAGTAGGCATGAGTCTCAATAGTTTGTTTAGAAATTCCTCCAGGTGACTGTGGTGCCACATAAGCAAGTTTGAGAATTACTGGCCTATAAAATTATTGTAATACTGTAACCAATTACAATATAGAAGCTAAAATATTTTTAAAGGACACACAAACTGAACTCCATATTGACTATAATACTCTTAAAATGAAGTGTGAGAAATTTAAGGAAATAGTATATCGATAGCAGTATTGGAAAATGACATGGGATCATAAGTGGATCAGATATTTTATGGAATTCCCAGATGAGAGAAAAAGAATAGGATGAATTGTTACAAATGTGCATTCATGCATGTGCATATAGGAGAACACACGGGAGTCAATATCACAGTAAAATCTAGAAAAATCTCAGAGTGAACAAATAAAAAGTTGTGGGATGTTTTATGACAAACTTTAGAACAATAAGCATATTTATTCCTAGCTGCAGAACCAGTTGGAATATTCCTACCAGATCCCTTAAAATAAAGAGGGGAGTTGGGATAGATACATAGGTTCATCTCCTAGATAGACAGGAGTTCAGATAGATTTCTGAAGTTTCTCGTCTAAACAGTAAACGACCTATGAGGACAGAGTGGAGATATATACACACACACACAACACACACACGCACATCAACACACTCATAAACATAATTTTATTACATTTTTAAGGAACGCACAAGTCATAGTCATAATGTACCCCTGCTTTGGTTCTCAGACATACTTTTTTTTTTTTTTGACAAATATGGTAGATAAAGGAGCTCAGAAATAACTGAATATCGGTACTTCTTATCTAACACTGACTTCATAACCTCCAAGGCAAGCCCTCCCAAATAAGTAATTATATCTATCTCTTTTTCTTTCTATCTATCTATCTCATGACCAAAAATTTTAAATTGGATTTTATTAAAATAAAAAAAACATTTTTGCTTTAAAGAAAATGACCAGACAATCCACAGAACAGGAAAAAGTATTTGCAATCCCGCGTATCTCATAAGAAACTTGTAAGCAGAATATTTAATGAACATTTAAACCTCAAAAATAAAAAGACAAATAACTCTATTAAAAATGAATAAAGAATCTGACTAGACATTTCTCCAAGGAGGGGATGCCAATGGCCAGTAAACACATGAAAAGATGTTCCACATCATTAGCCATTAGCAAAATGCAAATCAAAACCACAATGAGATACCACTTCACACAAACTAGAATTGCTAGAATCAAACAGTCAGATAATAATCAGCATTGGTGAGAATGTGGAGAAACTGGAAATCTCATTCATGTGGTGGGAATGTAAAATGGTATCCCCGGTATGGAAAACAGTCTGGCAGTTTCTTCAGTGATTAAATATAGTTATCAAATGACCCAGAAGTTTTACTACTCTGTATAATTCAAACATAAATAAAAACATTTATCTACAAAAATTTCATACATGAATATTTAGAATATCATTGTTCATAATAGCCCAAATGTCTATCAGCTGACAAAAGGATAAACAAAATATGATATAACCATGAATTGAAGCATATTTCGCATATCAAAAGGAATGAAGTACATGCTGTAACACAGATAACCTTAAAAATAGCATACTAAATGAAAGAAACCAGTCACGGAATAATGCATATTATATAATTCCATTTATATAAAAGTGCACCATATGGAAATCTAGAGACAAGGTGTAGATTAGTGGTTCCTGGGGCTGAGAATGGGGTGGAGAGGTAGGAGGTCATAACTATAGGGTCCAGGGTTTCTTTTTGAAATGATGAAATATTACAATTTACTGGGCTGATAGCTGCCCATATCTGTGAATACACTAAAAGTGATTGAATTGTGCACTTTAAGTGTGTAAATTACATGGTATAAGATTTATCTCAAAGTTGTTTTTAGAGAGTTTACTGACAAATAGTCTTGAATAAAAAATAGATCAGAAGGAAAGAAAACCATGATCAAAATTTAGCACCAAGTTATTGAAAATAATGAAGCTATCAGCTCTACAAACACGAGAAAATGTAAAGATCTCAGAGCTCAGGCAAAACAGAGCAACAGAGGACAGAAAGAGCTAATGTATAGGTAGCAGTGTTCAAGGAAAAAAAATCAGCTTAAAAAATGGAAAACCATGAAACCAGATTTCTCTGGGTAATAAAATAGGATAAATGGCATATCTTTTCAATAAGAATTCTAGAGTGGTTTAGCACTTTAAGCTATCTGAATGGATAATTTGGTTGACAGGTAAATAATAATTAAATAATTAAAGTGCTAAAAATAAGTTTTTAAAAATTGAGCATTTCTAGAAAATACTTTGTCCAGTATTGTTCAAAAGTATCAAGATCATGGGACATATGAAAAGACAGAGCAAGTCTCACAGACTAGAAGAGACTAAAGAGGATTCGTTCTTAGAAAAGAAAAGTGAGTTAAAAGAGAAACCAGCGAAATTCAAATACAGTCCAGAGTTTACTTAATAGATGGAACCAATGTTAATTTATTAGTTTTGATAAACATAACACAGGTATTATGTAATTTAGTAACTTTAAGAGAAGGGTATGAAGCAGGGTTTCTCAGTCTCCATAGTGCTCACATTTTTGGGCAGGTCACTCTGTGTTGTGGGAGTGTGTGTCAGCGCTGTAGGCTGTTTAGCAGGGCTACTGGCGACCTCACTTACAGACATTCTCCAATGTCCTCAGATGGGTAGGTGGGGGTGAGAGGGTACAGGTACAGCAAAGTCATCTCTAATTGAAAGCTACTGTTCTACCTTAATCTCTAATATTATCTAACCAAAAGAAATCAGTTGTCTCTTAGTGTGTGAGAAGGAAAAGAAACAGACATGTTCAATGTTTATGAAAATAACTTATTATTCACCTTTGCCTTTGAAGGTATAATTACACTTGACTACTAACCTATGGCTGCCTGAACTTCACCAGCAGGAAGAATGTGGTTTTTTGAAGGGTCTTTAACCAAAAACAAACCAAAATGGCACCCATTGGGTTGTACTTCAAATAGGACATGGAAAACTGTGTAGATACTAAGAAAACATACATTTAAAAAATATATAGACCCCTCACTGCATTAACTGTCCACTCCAATGATAATACCATCTAAAGAGGCTTTTTAGCTATAAAAATTGTCATCTTTATCAAGAAACGAATTATTAAGAAAAAAGTTATAGCATAGGAGATTTGTTTTTAAATTTTATACTGGAAGATTCTTACTTAAGAAATCTGGGGAAATGAAAATGAATGACTGACTGAGCGGAAAGTCCTGGGGCTTTCATCCTGCTGCTCCCCTTGGCTGACAGTGCCTTTGATAATCAGCCCCTTTCTGAACCACAGAACTTTCGTGAAGACTTCTTATTAAACTTTTTTTTCAGTGTCCTCACCATTCACTTCTTTGTCTCTCAAATCCCGAAAGAAAACCTGTTGTGGATTATTGGCTTTGGTATTTTGTTAGTCTCTACTTTTTGCCCCTATGATTGGACCCACTCAGGTGTTGCCTTCTGCAATGCTCTTGAGAGGCTTTCCAGAGCAGTTTGTCTTACACCTCCTTGAACAGACCTTCAAATGAGATGGCTGTAATCAATTGCCCAATAGCCTTCAGATAATGTTTTTGTAAGCAGATCTTTTCACCTAGTAGCTACAGTAGTGAATCAATCTACTCCATATACACATATTAGGAGAAAATGGAAAAAAGAAAAACTACATTAATGTCTGAAGGGAAGAAATCTATATATGAATATATAAAAGCTTAAAATTACAGGAGTCTACATAAAATCATCATTGTCAGTTCTCAAACATAAGTTGTGGTGTACAACCACCATTTCCTTAAAAGGTAAATTGCAAGAGGTAACATTAACCATTCTAGAAGAATAAAACATGTATCTTGTTTACTAAAACAAAACTAGCTGTTTTTCTTAAAAGTATTTCAGTGAGTTATGTTTGTTTTTATGATAATGAAAGAGAGCGTCTTTCTGTCAGTAGTCTATCTGTAGTTTTCTGCAGGTATTATTATACATTCTCTTTCTAAATGTCAAGTATAAAATAGAGCAACATTACTGGTGAGGACACAACACCCTACAGAGGCAGAGAAGAACAGTTTGGTGGTTCTCCTTAAACATGAACTAACCACAGACCCAGAAATTCTACTCCCAGCTACATACTACATAGAGGTGAAAATATTTGTCTGCACAAAATCTTGCCCCACCAATGTCTATGAAAAAATTCTTCATGATATCCCAAACATGCAGACAACCCAAATGTCCATCAGCTGATGAAAGGCCAAACCGATGTGTTATATCCATGCAATGGAATAGGTTTTTGGACATGAAGAGGAGGATGTGCAGGTCCCAGCAAGGATGAACCTAGAAATCATCATGCTAAGTGATGTCATAGGAGAGCCCACAGGAGGGAAATCTACAGAGACAGAAAGTGGATTCCTGGTTGTCGCAGCTGGGGAGACCGGTGGATAGGAAGGTGACAGCTACAGGGTACAGAGCTTCTTCCTGAGGTGATGAAATTTTTTTCTCATTTACTGTGCTGATGGGTGCACACGTGTGGCTGTACCATAAAACCCACTGAATTCTACACTTCAACTTGCTGAATTATTTGGTATATGAATGACATCACAAGAAGAGGAGGAAGGAGAGCGGAGGAGGGGAGGGAGAGTGAGGTGGAAGAGGAGCTGAGATGAGAGGGAGGGGGAGAGGGAGCAGAGAGAAGGGGGAGAGGGAGGGAGGAGGAGAGAACAGCAGACCATGGTAGCTCCTAGGCCCTTCTCTCCAGAGCGAAACTTACTGGCTGCACCTGGAAAGAGGCTTATGCCTCCAGTGTCTTCCTGCAGTATGGGCGTCTGGGCACGTGGCCTGCGCGTGGCGCCATTGTGGAGTGTCCCGTGCCCACGCCCCGCGTGCCTTCCAAGCGCCCAGAGGCCAACGGTCCCCCAGCCTTGGGCGCTGCAGCCCAGCCAAGTCCACAGACGTCAGGAACTTCTGGAAGGCGGGCGAACCCCTGCTGCAAGGCTCCGACGCCCTGGTGGCTCCCATGGGCAGGTCACCCAGCATGCCCCAGACCGCGCTGTCTCCCCGGGGTCACCAGAGCCCGTGGTCCCCGAGGTCCCCGACTCAGAGCCATATTCAGCACGTCCAGTGGGGGCGCCCGGCGCCCAGCACCCACCTCACCGAGGTGTGGCTCAGCCAAGACCCCCACAAGTTCCGGCGGGTGGGCTCCGAGGCCTGGAGGCGCCCCGCCCTGCCCGGGGAGACCGCCCTGGGGCGAAACCTCTCCTGCGCCTGGGAGGGTTGCATGAAAAGGGGGCTGTGTCGCGCCCGGAACCCAGGACGGACCTGGAGCCCGATGACCATCAGGATCGCCCCTCCCGAGCGTCAGGAGAGCCCCTGGGGATCCCCAGGACAGCGAGGCCGCCCCGCCGCCCAGGAACTCCCGGACTTCTGCACCCGGGAGACTCTGCTGAGGGCGCTCAGCCAGTGTCGCAAGGGAAGCGCCAGGTTCGAAGGGCCATTGTGGTTCGAGGTCTCAGACAGCAAGGGCGGCAGGTGGAACCTGGAGCCCCGGCCCTCTGCCTTCAAGCCCCTGAGCAAAAATGGAGCGGTTGCTTCCTTCGTGCCCAGGCCAGGGCCTCTGAAGCCGAGCGTCGGCCCCTGGAACCTCAGTGTTTGTGATGATACCTGGCCTTTCGTTCTGGTCCAGCCCGCCCCGTCCGCCATCTGGGACTTCTGGGAGGTGACAACGCCTTCCTGCTGCAGCTGCAGTAGGGTCTCCTTCACTCTCCAGGACACCCAGTCTGCTGGCTCCTTTGGCTCCTAAGAATCTGGGCCCTGCTACCCACCTCCGGAGACTTAAGCCCATGTATCTACTTTCACTTGCTCATCCTTGCTGTACCTCGAAAGTGGGGCCCTGACACCACGTTATCAAACATGCAGCCCCCACACCCCTCATCGGCATATCCCCAGATCTTCCCTCTGTGCTCCCTCCCACCCTAACAGCTGTTGATTTCAGAACAATCTTCGCCCTGCTGGCCCTCTCCTCCCTGCCCTTCTTCCTGCCCTTCCTCTGAAAAGAAGCATTTTGGGAAGGCTTGCTTTTTCTCCATGTCTCCCAGTTTATATAGTTAAATTGTCCAGTTTGTGTAGTTAAATATTTGATCTTATTAAAAATATTTGTCTGCAGAAACTCTCTCTACATATAATAATAACAATCAAAAAAGCTTTTTATGCCAAAACAAAGGGGAAACTGTGTTCCAGGCAGGGGCAAGGGCAAAGATTCTGTATGGGGAATAATTTCTATTTATTTGAAGTCCAAATATAAGTCCAGTAGAGCTGGAGACCAGTGAGAGAGAAGATATGAGGTTAGAGAAATAGACTGTGATGAAGTACTTAACTATAAGGCATGGGGACCAGAGTACAGGGTTTATTCTAAAGCCACGAGTGTTAAGCAGTGCACAGTCTATGATCTGGTTGATATTTTTAAAAACACGATTCTGGCTACAGCAAAGGAAATGGAAACCACAGGAGATCAATACAGGATTTCAAGCAATCCATGGGGATGGTTTGGTCTAAGAGGCAAATCGTGCATCTGGAAGGATACAGACAAGTTTGGGGTTGACCTAGAAGATAGTGTGGAACCTACTGGTTCCCTAGATGTTAGCACTGGGAAAGGGGAAGGATACCAACAGTTTTAGCATATCGGCTTAAGAAACTGGATGATGATAGTGTCATTTATTGGGATGGGCACTACCAATAGGAGAAAATATTTGAAGAAATCAAGAGTTTTGTTCAGGGTGTGTTTTCTACAATAACAAAAACACTTGCTATGCTGTGGTCCTGTTAACCGTGCTATTGAAAATAATAATCCTGGAACTCATTGGAGGGTTTGAACCTGGCAAAATAAATTTGGAAGTCATGAACATATAAATTCCTCATGACATAGAAATGGTCCTTAAAGCCACAGGCTACATGAGATCACTTATGCAGAAAAGACAGAGAAGGGCAAGGGTGAAGCCTAGGGTACTCCGACATTTAGAACATGAAAGAAAGGAGAATGGAAAAAGAAGAACCCTCAAAACCAAGAACCATGAGAGAGAAGGAAATCCAGGAGCAGCAAGGACACTGAGGATTCCAGAGCATGGAATTTACCCACCACGGTGGCTGCCTTTGAGAAGAGATGTTCCTTCCCTGATTTCAGAAGAGAAGTTGTTCAGATTGTTGGAAGTGGGAAGCCTCAACTGCATGGGAGATGGAAGGAAGGCAGGGTGTGTTAGTCCGTTTGCATTGCCATGAAGGAATACCTGAGACTGGGTAATTTAGAAAGAAAAGAGTTTAATTTTTGTTCTGCAAGTTATACAGGAAGTGTGGTGCCAGCACTGGCTTCTGGTGAGGCCTTCGGAAGCTTCCAGTCATGGCGGAAGGCCAAGGGTGAGCAGGCGCCTCACATGGAGACAGCTATCAAGCAAGGAGAGAACAGGGAAGTCCCAGAGTCTTTATAAACCACCAGCTGGCATGTGTCACCAAGGGGATGGCCCCAAGTCATTCATTAGGATCCCACACCTCCCACCAGACCCATCTCCAACATCAGTGGTTACATTTCAACATGAGATTTGGAGGGGACACACATCCAAACTCTATCAGTGGGCCTGGAGGCAGGGACTGTAGAAGCCACTAGGAGATATTAGGTTGTTAAGTGAAGCAAGCAATAAAACTGCTGGAGGAGTTTTACTTTGTCTTTAGATTTTCTTTTAAGAAAGGATAGGGGACAAATGTGAATAAGAATGGTATCTACACTGTTGTCCAAGCCATGGAGGTCTTGGAAGTCAAGATAAAGTGTGGCTTTGCTTTCAGGTGAGGGGCAGTGCACATGCAAAATGAGTTAAGGATAGGGAGGTGAAGAGAACATTTGTAGAAGTTAAGGTTTGTGGGATTTTCTGATGACTCCTCATGAGTTTCAGAGGGGATTGTGTGAGGTTTGAGAAGACAAGATGTGAGGTTGAGTTAGAAATGGAATGGACTGGGAATGACTCATTAGTCTAGAAAGAGATTGCTCACCTGGTAATTCAAAGCACTATCTCAGAGTAATGTGGTTGATCAATTACATTACGGAACAGAGTATTTATCTGGAATGTAGGGACACATTTTAGCAAGAGGGCAAGGACTCTTTACTGTGCACCAGCATTGCAGTAGCTAAGGAACAGTGATTCCCCTATGAACGGTAGCAAAGGAAGCCTCCTTCCTTGTAGCCAGCACAAGGCCCTAGGAATGGAATGTGAATAGACATATCCCTAGGAGAGAACAGAGATTCTGAAACAGATATGCAAGAACTTAACATACGAAAATGGTGACATTCAAAATCTCTGTGAAAATAATTAATTGCTGAAGAAATTGGATTGCAACTATTGGACACCCAATTAGGAATAAGAATATATGTATATAATTAGTACATTCAAATATCTTGTGGCCCAGGATCTCTTTAGTAGCCCAATACCTTCATACTTCTATCAATTTAATTGCGCTTTTACCACAAATTCACTTAAATGTGTTACCAAACCAGTTCATGAAAAACTTTTTAGTTATGTAGGTGATCTATTTCATAGAAGAATGAAATGTAATTGCAGAAAGAGAGTTATTTATTTCCATGTAAGCTTAATAATTTGGAAACACTTAAGTAGAGTTAAACAAAACAGTTCTTCTGAATTAGGTGTGAGCCAGTTATAATACACTGGGAAATACCTACAAGTAATAAAACTTGAAAGACAAGGGACAAGAGAGGTGACTACTTTTATAACCCACATAGCAGGGTTACTATTCCACAGTAGTAAGACATCAGTAAGTATCAATGATAAAAAAATAGAGAATACATAGAATTGCTAAAAACATAACTACACAGTTCATGTAATAAATAGCTCAAATTATTAACAAACATAAAATACTCAAAAGTGTTCTATATATTCAGAGAAATAAATATATATAGAATTTTCACTCATCATTGCCAAAAACAAGGTCTGCTAATAACCTTCCTTTGTAGGAAAAACAGAAAATATCATGTAAATTTGATAAATTGATCAGAACGAGAGTCTGCAAATTATCTTTGCATGTAACTTTTTAATTATTCTTCCATTTTGGCAGTGTCATTTAATTTTAATAAAGGATTTAATATGCAATAAAGATATGAGCCATGAACTGGGCCAAATAGCATAGCTTTGAAATACATTAACAAAACAAGAAAGAAAAGAAAAATAGAAAAAAATAGGAGGCATTTTTATGACTTAGACATTGGCACAAAAATATCTAACATGGTACAGAAATAGTTACAGCTGATAACAAGTTTATGATTTAAAAAGCTCGATTATATTTCTCACATGGGAGCCAAAAGGACTCCTTTTGTCCCTACTAATTTCTAAGTCACTTGGCTTAATTTCCCTTCAAAACCACATGCTGATTTTGTCTTTTTTGTTTTGTTTGTTTTTGTTTTTTAGAGACAGGGTCTAACTCTGACTGTTGCCCAGGCTGGAGTAAAGTGGTGACCTCATGGCTCATGGCAACCTTGAACTCCTGGGCTCAAGCAATCCTCTTGCTTCAGGCCTGAGCCACTATGCCTTGCTAAATTTTAGTTAATTTTTTGTAGAAATGGAGTCTTGTTACATTGCCTTGACCTTCTGAAGTGCTGGGATTACTGGCAAAGCCACTAGCCTAGTGTTAATCTTTGACAGTACCGATAAAGGAAAGGGACAAAGACACAGAGACCAAAGGAAATGGAACATTTTTCCAAAACCTACCATGACCATGACATCTGTTTCTTTCTCCTTTTTCTCCTAAATGCCACTCTTAGTTGGCTGTGATTTCAGAGGGCAGGGGACCTCCTTTCAAATAAGAGTTCCACTTCTATTTTACTTTATCTAATATTTAATAAAATATTATATACAACTGCATGAATAATACATGTAACATAAAATTATATTAAAGCAATTACAAAACAAATTGATAAAGTACTACAGAAAACAATGGAGCTTGAAGTGTGTGTGTAAACTTATATTATATATACACACATGTAAATTATATATGATACACACAAACATAATTATTTTGCCTGTTACTGTCAATATTTTGGATAAACTGAACATTTTGCTTAAAAGGAGGTATCACAAAGAAACATATTGTTTTAACTTTTAATATAAAGTTATAGTTATCAAATTTTAAATAAGAGATCCATGTTTTGTGATGCGAAGGAGTCTGCTAATCAAAGTTCTGCATAACCCATACCCCCTATATGACACCTTTTAAATCCTAGTTTGATTTATTTTAAAGTGAGACAAGAATTTAAGTATTTACAAAACAATGTGAATGCAGATTACTTATAGATTTTTTCCCCCAGTGTTTTATAGGTAACTTGCTCACATGTAATTCAGAATTGTTTTTGGCAACTCTACGTAAGTTATCCCAAATTGTTAAACTAATTTAAAGGAACAACTCTTTCTGCATTTATATTTTATTCTTCTACAAAATAATTAACTAAAAGTTTTGTCATGGACCGGTTTGATGGAACATTAAACTGAATTTCTGTTAAAAGTATAATTAAATTGATAGATGCATAAGAGTAGCTAGATACTAAAGAGAGCCTGTCACAAAGGAGAAATGAGTGTCTAATTAGATACTTTGATTCTCATATGTGTAAATAGATTGTGATCTTGATGCATATCTGTGTGTGTATATATAATACTTTTGAAGTAGAGGTACACTTAGACATGTGTAAACAGAACAGGTACCTATTACGTATATATGAGGGATCTTCAAAAAATTCATGAAAAATGAATAATTGTGGAAAACTATGCATGCGTTTCAATTTTGTTTTGCACCAAAATGAATGCATACTAACTTATTGGAACATGTCTGTACAAGATCTAGTTTGAAGCACTGAGTAGGATAAAATATCAGTTTTAAAAGAGCCCCTATCAGAGTAACATGAGTTCTGCTATTAATTGAAATAAGTATAAACATCCAATGTATGATGAACCTTTAGTAGAAGAATGGTGAAATCGCTAACGCTTTATGAGAAGTTTGTGTGAACAATGCCCTGCAAAATGGCAGTTTACAAATGGAGAACTTATCTTAAGAAGGGAGGAGATGATGCTGAAGATGAAGCCCAAAGTGGCAGTTCACCCACATCAGTTTGCAAGGAA